TCCCAGTTCAAAGCCCACAAACGAGCCACACGACCATCACCTACACGTCTGCAAAACACACATGATGGTAAATAGCACTTTTCTTGCTCAGTAGCCGGTGGCAGGGCACTGTGAGCAGACAGAGATACAGGGACAGAGGGACACAGAGGCACCTCCCCTCACTCAGCTGATAACCTTCCATGCATTCCTGGGGACAGGATTGTCATAAAATGCAACATGGATTGATCCTCCTCCTAGGAAAGGAACGGTAGTGCTGTCCTCAGGTTTGAGCAAGGGTGGCCGGAGGATCACAGAAGAGCTGTTTCAGCACAACCAATAGAAATGTCGGCCACTGTGACCACGAGAGACAAGTCTCCTGCCATCCCGGTAGACACTTGGGCTCCTGACAAAAGCTGGGCTCAGTAAAGGGTTGAGTAGAAGGCACAGACCTGAGGGATGCCCCAGCAAGTGACAGGAGGTAGGGCCTGGTTTATACTGCTCTGGGTGTAACCAAGCCTCATCTGAATATGAAATCAGAAATTTGCAAAACAGCAGAGCTGGGATGGATCACCTACTCCAGACTCCTCTCCTTACAGTTAAAAGGGTGGCAGCCCTGACAGGCAAAGCAACTTGCTAAAGGCAGAGCATGGAAGTGGCAGCACCAGATGAAATGCACTGTGCCAACCCCCGTTCAAGGCTGCTAACACTGAGTATGGAGCCAAGGTTTCCAACTAGGAGAATGAGACAGTGTAAATACTTTGTTCCCCCAAAAACCCCAAATGCAATTTTAAAGGTACAAAAACTCACCTTAACTAGCTCTCTTCTGAGGGGGCTCTCTTCTGTCTCTGTCTTTCTGTCTGTCTCCATTTCTCTCTCTCAGACACAAACACATACAATTTTGTGAAAGGGGAATTCCTGCCATACAAAGACAGACTTCACATCTTCACAAAGACACTTGACAAAGCACGTTTCTCAATTCAATTCTTTGTGTGAGGTCTGAGCAACTGGCTTATCTTCTAGAACAATTGGTGGTTCCAAAATCAGGAGATCATCTTCCCCAAAGGAAGAGTTCTGGTCTGTGTTGATGAAGTTGGGGATGTCACATTTCATAAGCCTGTTCGGCTCCTCCTCTGGCCACCTGCTGCTTCTGATGGCTTCCCGGAGCTGAATATCACTGTCAAGGGCAATGGTTGAGACACCAGCTTTGGCCTTGTCCAAGTGGTCCACTTCATTGATGTAGCAGTGAAAGAGGGACCTAGATTCGTCATTGTGCTGCCAGAGAACACCTTGGGCACCAGCGGTCTTCCAAATTCTGACACAAAGCTGTTCAGTCTGAGTCTGTTCTCGGGAGACTCTGCATTGCTATAAAGAAAACCAAATTAAAAGGTCGCTCACACTCTAGCTCGGTGACCTGAAGAATCATAGTTTTTGCCATCTACTTAGTGCAAGTTCCTGCACAGAGCACGCTTACAAGCACTGGAAGTGAGAGACATCACTTCTGAACACATACAGTTAAACCCAAGGCAAAAGTCTCAAGTGAGGGCCCTTGGACCATCATGAAAAGACATCATTCCCTGAGAATCCTCAATATTGCTGTATTGCACAACACTGTTTCTCAATGGGACACTCAGATCATCCTCATCAGAATTAGTTAAAGTGCTTCTTAAAATGCAGAATTCTGGGGTACAGACACTCAGCATCTCCAGAGGTAGGGACCGGTAGTCTGTATTTTCAGAGCCGCCAAGATCACTAAACACGGGGTTTAACACCGCTGTCTACATCAGGTCACCTGAGCATCGACAATGCTGTCTCACGGGGTGGGGGGGTGTCATGTGTGTCAGGGTGCTGTCCTACCCATGAGACTCCCCTGATTCTCAGAACTGACAGTGCTGCCCCATTGGGCAAGAAATACCACCATTTCACAATGCATATGCAGGGCGCCCAGCTGACAGATACAATCAGTGATTGGAGAGGGGACAAAACTCAGGTTCCTGATCCCTTGTTTCACCTACTATGGGACAAATGATCAATTCAAGGGTAATAAATCAGTGAATGAGTGAATTACATGACTCTCATTAGTCCCACGAGTGCCTGGAAGAGCGAGCCTGGGCACACTGAGTACCGTAACAGCTCATCTACTTAATTGCCATCCTTCCCAGATTTGTGTAAAGGTTACTTCCACCCAGGCAGTGACTCCTGAAGGGCAAGAATCATGCCTGAACACACTCTCAAATCCAGAACAGAACCTGACAACAATTAGGCTCTGGAGTCTGTGTTTAGCAAGTGTGGAATCTCAGTGATTCCAGCTCTTACACCTTGCCTTCCTATCCCACCCCTCACAATATGGCCCTTATGACCAGTTCTCCCGGGGCTGGGGCCACAGAACCCATTTATAGGACTGGAAGAATCTGATCATGTAAACAATCCCCCAGAATATCATCAAGATTCACCTGCGTTTCAGGGATCAGTAATCCCAGAAGATTTGCAGTTCAGGAAGCTGAGGGATTTTTATATCAGCTCTGTCTTCTACT